AATGAGTGCAGAAAGAGAGAGAAGCATATTCTTCTAAAACACATAACACGCTTTACATAAATATCAGTACTGTACATCCCTTGAGCAAGAATCCTTCACAGCTCCTTCCTTAATTGCAAATCCTTGTATAAAATCCATAATTTAATCACCCAATCAGTTTCTATGAGGGAGATTTGGGCTGCTGGTAAAACGGGAGTATGGTGTAATTATTAATGCTTGTTATGAGTGCCTTTGTAACATGTGGGGTGGTAAGCAGATAGGATGATAATTCAGGATAATTACTAGGCATTAGGTTGGACCCCAAGCTCTTTTGCCCTGAAGACTGTCTGGGCAAGAAACTGGCTCTGATTGGTTGACACCCAGGGGAGAGATCAGTCCTGATAGGCTCATGGAAGTTAATCTCTCACATTCATTTTCCTTCTCCTATATTTTTGTCAGATCAGATCATTGAAGTCAACAAATATAAAGCTACATTCATGACTGATGCAAAATTGAAATAGAATTTTAAATTTGTACCCTTATTCAATGCCCCATTTCAAAAATGACAACAGAGAGAAGCAGACTTTATAATTTTGTGTCTCTTAACTTGTTTGGACGATCTATTGTAGATCATTAGGGCATGCAGAGCCCCACGCTACCACTTTGTTACCACAGCACAGAAGGGAGTAGTTGGGAAAGCTAAGTACCCTTAAGTGTTAGTGGTGTAACGTTGACTGTGTTAGGCCAATTTTCTCCTGCCTTAACAAAAGAAGCTCTTTGCTCGGCGCTAAGGCCAGATGGGGGTAAAATGCCAAACATAGTTAAGATGCTTCATCGCAAAATGGCACTGAAAGTACCCATTACATAAACACCGGGGAGCTAAGTAGTGTCATAAAGGCTCAGAAGTGAGAGAAGCATATTAAATGGGATGATAGAAAAGACAAAGATTGGTGAGATGGAAAGAGAAAATGGACTGATGAATCAAAGACAGGATGGAGGGCGGAAAGTTGGGGAGAAAAGGGAGATGTAGAAATTGACAGAAGAAAAACCGATTGCACATAAAGCATGCTGTTATGAGTCTATAAATATTGACCAACCATCACTTGGCACCTCATCTTGTAACCAAAGATAGATCGGCATGGCAACAGAGGTTCACTTTTTCTATGCTTCACTAATGTCTTATCTTAAATAACAGCAGATACAAGAGATACAAGACAGCTTACTGACCAGGAGATAAACAAATGGTTCACACAGCATCGCTAATCTTTGTATTACAAAGATTATTTATTGAGGCATCCTTTAACTCTTGTGTTTTGTTGACAATGGCTTTACTTCTGCATTGTTTGGTGTTCCACAGACGCCACTGCTACCCAAACATGTAAAAGAGTATTTGAGTGATAACCTTTCCCTTCGCCAGAACCTGAGCTTGATAAAATTGAAAAAGTACAAAAATGGCTATGAAGCATTGTCACTACACCAAATAAGGAAATCATAAACTGTGCTGAACCTCCAATAATGTAAATTTAAATTGACTTTGCATAGTCCTGTGTAAGAAATACTATCAACATCAATAACAGATATAGATTGCATGAAAATCTATTGTATTTAAAGAAGATGTTCGACATTTTGGGACTATGCTTAGTCAGTTTCTTGCCAAGAGTTAATTGAGAAGACGGATACCACTTTCATGCCAGTAGGTGAAGCTAGCAGCTGGCTAGCTTAGCTTAGCTTTAAGACTGTAAATAGAGGGAAACAGCTAACCTGGTTCTCTCCAAAAATAACAAAATCCACCTACCAGCACCTCTAAAGCTCACTACTTAACCAGGACCAGTTGCCAGGCAACCAGTGGATACTTCTGGAAGTTACTGGTCCATTTTGACATTTTATTTTTAACAGATTGATGTTAATTTGTGAACTTTACAGGTGATACCTTTGGACAGAAGCAGGCTAAAAGTTTCCTCTTTCTAATATTTATGCTAAGCTATGTTAGCCAGCAAAATTCATAAGCAATTCTTATAAAATAAGTTGACATTGTGAAGTAGAGAGGTGATAAAACAATGTTACATTTATTTTTGAGCTATTAAATAGGGCTCCAGGACTCCAAACAGGACATTAGGGTTAATAAAACCTTCCAGTTATGATTCAGAATTGGTCATTAAAAGCAATGTTTAATTCACTAAATAAGTTTTCCCGTGGATGTTTTAATACATCAGTCCTGATATCCTCCAACAGCTTAAAACGAGAAGTGTATTAAAGTGGGCAGGTGGAGTACTGCGGATGCCTAGAATATGAGAGGCTCGCTGATGACTCCGAACAAACTGCCAGTTCTCGGCGGTAGGTGCCAACGCGGTGCCCCTTCCGGCCGGCGAGGCAGTATCAGCAGGGTGGAACAGCTTCTGAAAGGAGTCCAAGCTTTCACTCTTTCGCCCTGCAGTTCTGAGCCATTGGCTTCGACAATCCCACCAAGCCTCAGCTGGGAATTTTTCAAACCACAATTAATACACAGAGCAGTGTAGCATGGCCATGAGGAGAGGGGGAGGAGGAGGTGGAGGTGGAGGAGGAGGAGGACGAGGAGGAGGACAGAAGAGGAAATTGGTCAAGAGGAAATAAATGAGGTAAGAGAGGAAGGGATGCTTGAAGAAAAGTTTAATTTCTACAAGTGATAGAAAAATAGTGAATCAGCTATAAAAGGCATCACAACTATAGCGGTGATGAGAAAAAATGACAAAACGACTGGGCTGTGTAGTGGTACAAACAAAATATTATGTCAGCTTGGCACTGTGCTGCATGGTTAATTCTACTAAATTGTAACACATGGCTTCAGTTCATTTGGCAGGGCAACACAAAAAGACGATGGCAAAGAGAAGACATGGCAGAAAATCATTAACTCCCGACCTAAAACATATTTTACACACTGCAACACCGTTGTCCGCTCCTCGCTCAACAGCAGAAGCATCTAGTTCAGAACATATACGTATATATCTTCTGTCTTTGAAAGCAACAAAGACGTTTTTTTTACTCAGTTGTACTTTACCTGTAGCTTCTTTTATTGATTGGATTCAAATTTCTCTCTCTTCTAAGACACCTGAATTCTCACAACCACTTTTTCCATAGAAATGCTTTGCATTTTTTAACACATTTTTCAGATTTGGGCAACATAAGATGTGTTCATCATCAAACTATATTGTGAATAGTTCACCAGTACGTGACAAGGTTACATTCTCTTGCTCCTTCTATCATTAAAGGGGAGCCTGTCAGGGTGCGAACTACAGGGGAGCCAGAGGGAGCTTGGCTCCTCTTAATAAGACATGAGCTCCTGAAAACATGACTTGTGAAATTTTGGGGGGTCTCTTAAATATTGCGCACATGCTATTTCTGCCATTCGTTTTAGAAGCTCTCAACTTTAGGAAGCAGATGTGATTGTCAGCATGCATAGTATTAAAATGCTAGATTTTCAAATGGAGTTTGGTCTAATGTAAGTTAAGTTTTTAGATTGAAAAGATCTAATGATTGATGATTCACAGAAGCTCTCAACTTTGGGAAGCAGATGTGATTTCTCTGTTTTGAAGTCAGCAAACTGTGAGTCAATCAGTCAAGCCCCCCCCCCTAAGAAAAAGTGAGCTTTCCCGAAAGCCGTGGTAGAGTTCGCACACTGGAGCCTGTGACTGCAGTACAGCAGTATAAATATTTGAGACCCATCTTGGAAGCTTACCTTTGATTCCAACTCTGACTTTATTTGTAAAAAGGAAAACCAAAGCTTTTTAAGGAAACTTATTGGATGCTCTATACAGGGATTTAAATATTTTTTTAGTTTCCATCAGGACAGAGGTTTTCCAGATGTGGCAGAAACAGATCAGAACAGGTCTCTTATTCCAGCAGCTTTCAGCTTTTTCAACAAAAATGCATCCACAGCAGTTACCAGGTGCTGTATTTTTAGCATTTATTATTGACTGCAGTCTGTACTTCAATTTGCCCCTCTGATACATTACGGTGCTTTATTGCTGCTAAAACATTAAATGAATTAATTTGTAGCCTCTGATCCATATATACCCTGTAGCGTTTTTAATCAGGCACTATGGTGATAAAGAGGGGACTCAAACTGGGCATATTGCAATTATGTACACCCCTGAAAACCCTGCTCTTTTTATTCTCTACTGTGGCGGGTTTCTGGTGGATTGGTGGTAACTGAGTGACAGAATGAGCTGCATCCTTTTCTACAGTAGAAGAAGCAGGTTCTGCAAAATCTGTTTCCATCAGCATCTTTTTTGCAATGTGTCATCTTCTCCATTTCAGACTCTTTTTTAATTTTATGTATGAACTGAAAATGTGCATAAAAACACAGTACCTACCCTTCAGATACCGTCTTAATGACTACCATACTTTTTTTGCCCACCCCCCCTGGAATGAGGTAAATTATTCCTTCCCCTCCTTTCTATAAGGAGGTTAGTGAATTCAAACTCCCAGGAAGATGAGCTGCTTGTGCTTTCACTGAACTCTGAATATTTCTCTCCTTCACCTATTTCCTCGATTCTGGCGGTTACCTGTAGCACATCTCTCTCTGATTTATAGCCAA